CCCCCCCCCTTCTGCTTATGTGCAGTCTCTCCTCAGACTGGATTGTTGTAATATGAAGGGACTAGTGTGTACTGCTTGCATCTAGTTTTCAGACTATATGGGTAAACCAGAATTGCTAAACTGTACTTCCTTTCCTTAAGGGAAGGCAGCGGCTTCTTAAATATCCTTTCCTGCTGGATGGAGCAGCATCCAGCCCTTGACTGTTCTTGGTCTCGGAAAATGAACCCTTTGACTGTGTTCTAGAAAATAGTGGCAAGGAAAGTGAATTTTTAGTGCAGATTCTATTTTTATAATGTGGAAATAAAAGGCATTCACCAGTATCTCTCTGTCTCTCGTTCTCTAGATATCACGCTTCAGTGGCTTATTCAGCATTCAAAATCTCGAAGAAGTTGAAGTCTTCCTGGAGTCTCCTGTACCAGTTGGCCATAATCTCAATTGTCCAGTCCCTCCATGATAAAATACTACCCAATAGTCCTGTGTCAAGAAATTGCCTTTTTCACAGTTCATTTCCCATGTGCACTGCTGAAGACTTGTATTCTTATTCCGTCACAGAATGAACTAGAGTTGTCATGATAAAGTCAGCACAAAAGGTTTGTTTTACGGCCATCTAAACAGCGGGGGCAGGGGTGGGGAGCCTTTTTAAAATTCTCTACCATATTTGAATCTAAGAAATAGTACATTTCTGTTCTGGTTTTTCATGGCCAGGCTTTTATATTTGATTTTTTTTTTTTTCAGCAAATGTTAATAGAATGTTTTATTTCTAGTGTTTAGTGGCTTGAGGATGCTGACAGTGCACAGCATTGAGATTCTAGCGCCACACGTGGTATTTGGAGAACCTTAAGGCGTGACTTTACGTGGGATATTAACTTATTGTTATCTCACAAATGCATGTGGTGTGTGTGTCTATATAGTAAGCCTGAGAAATGGAAACTGTCTGCGAAGGGGGGTGGGGGGGAGCACAAGGCACTAGATCAGCATCACTAGTCTTCTACAGCTGTGAGATGATGCAGTCATTTTAAACACCACTTTTTTCTAATAAGTTAGAAAAGCCAAATAGTTAAACACTTTGTATCAAGATCATTATTTGTATCTATTTTTCGTTTTGTTTTAAAACTTGCATAGGGAATGGGAAATGCATTTGCTTTGTCAAAAGATGTCAACGGTTATGTATTCCAGCAGACTAAACACATTTGCTAGGAATGTAAGACTGCTCAAATATGCGTTTTTTTCTTTTTGTGTTTTTTCTGGTCTCCGGATGCTTTATCTCTGTCTGAAACACCAGAATGTGAAGTCTGAGCTGCTGCATGACACTCAAATTACAGTGGGTTTGGGTCTTTCTTTTAATCAAATCATACTGTCAACTTTCAGCACAATATCTGTGTAACTGTCTAGTGTGTGTCTTTTTCTCATGGAATAGCTGGGCACACTTTCATCTGGTGCTGGGAAACAACTCTAGGCCTGCCTGATTTCTCAGTGTAATCATGTGCAAAGTCTGCAGGCTGCAAGATGAAATGTTTTACTGTGTCTTGAAGCACAAGAGAGCCAATGAATTGATCCTGTTTCTTGATTTTAGCTTCTGTCGTATAAAGAAATATGTATAAACTAAAGATTGTAATGTTTTTGTAGCTTTACTTTCTCGGTGACTTCAATATATTTAAAGGGACAGACTTGTTAAGACTGGTTTGTTCATACAACAATGTCAATGTAGTCCAGTGTAATGTATACAAATATATGGTACACCTGCTTGTGTTGCCTCACTGTGTAACTTTTTAAAGCAGCACCTAAATGTAGATTTAGGCAATATGTTTTTTTTTTCAGAGACTTTAGTTGAAAACGCTTGAGTCTGCTCTGTATGTGTGTATACAAGACAAACCAGTTTTTAATTTAGACTGTCATGGCCTTACTGTTCTGTACAAACTACTGCACTGTTGCACAGATGTTACATGTTGCCTCCATTTACAAACTAGGCTTGCATTTTTACTTTTTTTGTCCACTTTTAGTCCTGAGGCATGATTTCAGTTAATCCCATACTCCTGTTGGTGCTGTAGAGAAGGGTATATTAACTTGCTGCTGTAGCGACTAGTTTGCCATGAACTACTACAGTTACTTTTATTTAGCAACTTTGCTTGTGCCTAAAATAAGGAAACTGAATTAGAACGTGCGAGTCTACATGGGGACCAGGTCGCTGAGTTAACTGGCTAATAGCTGAACTTGATGTGTTTGGTGTGTATCTACTTCACTGCTTTTGGCATTTATGGCATCCAAACACTACCAATTGCTAACCTTCACATTAACCTCTGCATGTGAACAACTTGAACAATTATTGAATTTTGTAAATAAGTGAATTTTTTTTATTTAGGTGGATGCATATTGTTGGTTTATTGCTCTTCAGCTTTATTCAATAAACTTAACATTTTGAGGGTTGTATTGACATTTAACTGACTCCTCAAGTTGCAGTGTGACTCGGTGTGTTCCTGTGGGTTATAGGCACATGCTGTCTTGTTTCGATTTTCACAACCAAGCAGGAAGTTGAAATACACTAGTGTGGAGTGAGCAGGAGAAGGAGTAGCTAGTCTGAAGTTTGACGGCTCTTTATCATCTACTGAACACGACTAATACTTGTTACTTCAGAAGCTGGCTTGAACATGATCCATGTATTAAACCTGTATCTTGCCTGAAGAGTTGTTGCTGCTGCTGCTGCTGCTCTTGCTTTTACTCCTCAGTTGTGTGGGTTTTTTTTGGCATATGTGAACAAACTTGTGGCTACTCTGGCTATAAACTATATAGCAAAAGAGCAGAGTTAAAATACGGTACCTTCAGGTATCTAAATTTCCTCAAGTTCTTCCTAGAAGGCAGACCCTTCCTCCTTTTCTGTTTTAACTCTCCCCTGGAAGAATCTAAGTGTTCTGATGCACAAGGACCACCTAATTCCTGCCAGATTCTTAGACAAATGCAGAAACGGTGAGGATGCTGCGACATGGGTAGAGCTTTGCTCTGATGGCAACAGGCTTCTAGTCTGGGTTACTCAGCCATGTGTTAGTCACCTGGCTTAACAGTGCAATGCGCACCTACCCTAAGACGAGTTCCTGTAGGTGGCACGAAGGAAACTTCCAAATCCATTGCTTGTGAACATGAATAGTTGGGGAGGGTAGCTGACAGTGAGGTATAACTCCTTTAACCAATCTATTTTGAAAACAACCCTATTGTTGGCAGGGAATAAACAAACAGTTTTTTTTAATGGCTTTTTTATGGTTGGTCTTGATCTTGCCTTGGATCCAGTTTGCTAACTAAAATGCCTGTATAAAAATAAGTCTAATCTCTGCAGAACAAAAGCTTTACGCACACGCGCACGCTTTACATACATATACCCCCCCTTCACTTTGTTCAGGCTGTCGGGCAAGACAGCTTGATCGTTGGCATCAAAACACTTTGTAGTTCACGGTGGTTGTAAAGCTGACAACTCCCCTGGAACAGGAAGAAAAAACTATCTCCTCAACTTTTAGAAATCAGGGTTGGATTTATGGAACTCTTATACTGGATGCTCTCTGAGCCAGATGCTCTTCCTCCAACTCTTTCTTTTTATTAAGGTAAGATGAATAGCTGTTAGTTTATGCTGTTACTCAGATGCTATATGCAAACATATAGACTGTAGGTTATCTTGGTCTAACTTTAACCATTATAGATGGTCAAAACGAGCAGATTTTTAGATTACAATCTTTGCTTGAAGTCTCTCCCTGCACTACAAAGTTTTTCAGTAGTGTATCTTGCCTATACCTCTTTCATGAATAATGTACACATGTGGATTAATCTGACACTGGGATGCTGCATTGGTTTCTGTGAAGTAACATGTCCTTATTTTTACAGTACACTGCCAAGTATTGTACAAGCCAATTAAATGATCTGTTTCCCAGTCTTGTTTGCCCAATTCTTGCTCTGACTCTTATTCCTGTTAAATGGCATTTTGGGGAAGCCCTTTAAAATGAATTTACTCAAATGTCCTAGTTAAGTTATTGATGGTAAAGTGCTGGCTTGGTCAGTGGTTAGCTTGGACAATGAAAATGGACTACTTCTAGGTTCTGCTTCTAATTCTTGGTGTGTGATGAACTTGAGACCTTTTCATGGGGGAGGGGAACGTAGCCCTTCTCTTCTAGAGTAACCTTTTAAAGAAAAAGGAGCCTTTTCAATTAGGTGAATGGTGCCAGAGAAGCCACTTCTTTTGGGTAGAAACTTGCAACTAATTAGTGAGGCATCAGTCGCGCCTCTCTCTTGGTGGCATGTCACTATTACATAGTGTCCTAATGGTGTGTAGGCTTTTTGGGTTTTTTAAAAAACATATTTCTGTCTGATCTTAGTTTGAGACCAGGTGACTGATCACTGAATATTACCAATTGTAAACTGTGCATCTTTTGACTGTTCTAAGGAGTCATGTTGGTATGAGGCCACACCCTGAGAACTTGGCTGTATGGTACTTTGTTTCTGAAGTCGAGGTATTAATATCCTACCAGCCAGCTTGCACAATTCACGTGGGTGGTAGAAATTTACAGGGCAGTGTAGTTCCCAGCATCAGCCTTTGTATATGATGGCAGTCTTGCCTGGAAACTGATTGTATACATAAATATACTTGTAATGCAATTAAATACAAATGTTTTAATAACCTCTTGTCTGGCCCAGGTAAAGCATGTTGTTGTGCTTGGAGCTTCAGCCTTTGAATTCTCTTGTCCATGGAAGTTGGTGTCTGGAGGGGATTAAGATATCTTCAGCCCACTTCCTTCCTAACTGGTGCATTTCAGTGCTGCTCCCTACTGGGCTTGCTTTCCTTTTCCACTCAACCCAAACTACTGCTACTACAAAAAAAAAGATGCACAAAAGGGGGAGGGCAGGAGGCCTGGTTCTTCAGCAGTTCTTAAACTTCCTTCTTTAAACCTCACTATCACTGGATAGACCAAAGAGAAGCAATTAATGTATTCAATGTATGCATAATAAAAAAAACAAAACTCCCTGTAGCTTTGAGTCCTTCCTCGGCCCCCCTCCCCCAGGTTAGCTTTTTTTTAGGACTGCCTGGCCTCATTAAAGCATAGTAACTTTTTTTTTTACCATAATGCCTGAGCATTACATGTGTTAAGTAGTCAGATGGTAAAACAGATAATAGTAATGTGTGTGTCATTAAAGGGCAAAGGCTGAGCAGGCACTTGCATACTTGTGGTTTTTGGTTGAATGTCTGTTGCTTGGGTTTTATGTCGTGTTTTTTGGTTCGTTAAAGGGTGAATAAAAGCTATTTTCCGTGTACCTCTTTTGCAATTTCCACAATGCAGTAATGTGGTTGATGTTTGGAGTAGGTAGGACTTTTTCATGCATTGTTAAGAAATATTTATAGATTTCTATCTCCAAATTACTTGGCATGATTACACATAGTGGTATAAAAGACTGCAGATGTTTAGGTCACAACACCAAGCATCCAGGAAGTAAGAACGCATCAGGCTAATGGTTACCATTTAACCTTACTTGTGCTCTCTTGTGCACCGAATTTATATCCTGAATTGGGAAGGATTGTGGGGAAAACAAAGTGCGTGATACCCTGTAATTGTAGTCTTATATCACTTGCACAAGGAGGTAGAATTTAGGTGGCAGTGTCACTTGGAAATTGGCATATCTTATGGTAGGCTGCAAAACTGTCATTCTCTTGGGTTTTTTTCTTTTCTTTGCATCTTATAGGGAGTTTTTAATTAGGAGAAAAGGATCCTGTCCCATGTAGTGCATAGGGCAGGGAGAAATGGCTATATGTCTGCTCCTTTGGATAGAGAAGGAAGAGGAGCCTGGTCTAACTTGGTCTTGCCAAGCAGGTGGCCAAGTAAAATCTTTTGTAAGTTGTGCTTATCTCTATGTATTCTACTTCCAGTGTGTGACATCCCCCTCCCCCTGCTGCATTTCAGATGAGAATCTTTAGCCAGCAGAATCTTCCTTTTGCCCATCTCTGCCTACTCTCGCCCCCGCCCCCAATCCAAGGATATTTTATATAGAGTGGAGTGAAGCCACCTGACCTCCAGTTTCTTTATACAGCCAGTGGCTGCAAGGCGGAACTGAAAGAATAGTGTATTGCACTTGGTAGGAATTTTTAATATACTTAGAGCTTGGGTGTAGTTCAGTAGTAGGAATAGTCTTTTATATGTATTAAAAATGCCTGGGTCTTTTTCCCCCACTTCCTCTGAGCAAAGGCTACTACCTGTGACTCAGCTGCTTGGACTCTGGATTCATTATCAAAGCACTGTCTATCGTTCCAGCTCCTTGTTCAGACAGAAATCTCTATCTCCCCTTTTTATGGAACGGAGTGTCTAAATTGCCTATTGAAAGAGAGGGATCTGTTTGGGAAAGGATGATTTAGGGCCTCACCAGAGTCCTTGTGATGCCATGGAGGTTTGATGTTAGCTTTATACTGTTAACAAAGGTAGCTTTGTGTGATTCTGGGAATCTGCAGCAGTGCTCCTAGGGTTTCCTGTACTACTGATGAGGCTTTCAATCTCTGGTATTGATGGTGCCAATGTAACTGGTACTAGAACAACTTGCCCAGATGCCAGTTGTTACATCAACTTTTGGTAATGATGCACCCTTGTAGCTTTCTTCAGACGAGCAGAACTGACGAGAAATCTCTGCTTCTCTGAGTCGGATTTGCTGGACTCGGTGCACATTGTGGTACATCATGGTGAGATTTTTTTTTTTTTTTTTTTTCCGGATCTCTAACGTTTTAAAATATAACGAAGCTACCCATGTTGTCAAAAGCTGGCTGTTGTAAACTGTGTTTAATTAGTAAAATGTATTTGTATCCCTTCAAATCACCTGCCATTACAGCAAAGTCCAAGTCTTACACTAGCTCCACATGTGGTAAGTGCATACATGAAATGCTGGTAACCCTAAATCTAAGGGATTTGTACTGGGCTTTGTGGAACATGGGAGAATTTTGACTAAATATGAGTATTCATCATCTACAAAATGAAATGTAGAGACTTTGTTCTTGTCTAAAGTGTTGTGTGCAAGCCAGTGTTTTCAGTTCCTAACAGTCTGTCTTGAATGTGTTCTTTTATCTTTGGATCTCTGTGGCTGACTCCAGCTTCTGAAAAGTCAAAGTGAAACTTCTGTCGGAGGTATTGGCTTTCAGATGGGTCAGGCAGGAGCCATTCAACACTGAACTTGGCAGAAGATTGTCAAGAGAGAGTAACTTTTAACTTGCATTAAACTAGTTCATGTTTGAGAATCTGCTGGATGCTTAATGAACGTTGCTTGAGTTTAGCTGGCGTGGGTTAAGATGTTACTTTAAATGTAAATAGTTTGCATAGTGCAGACCTGGTGCACTTGTATGTGTACAGGTGTGGGTTCTCATTTCCGTGATTCCAGTCGACTGGGGAACACTTAATGCATATGGTAGTAAAAGAAGAGCATCTCCAACTCCATTCTCTTTCCCTCAAGAACTTTAGAATAAAAGAGGAAACAAGAAAATGCATTACTTTATTCTTAACCTTTTGTCTTACTCCTATTCTATTTGAGGTGCCTATGAGAAGCCCTAATCAACACTTACAACATAAATAACAAAACTAGACAGTTGTAGCAGGCTTCCAACAAAACAAGACTCCTGAACTGAAGAGGAAGGCACTTCGTTCCAGCACACCATGATCTCCTTCAGGTTTGAGAGGGGGTCTAACCTAAATATCAGGTAAAACTGAACTTCAGGTTAATAGGGGTGAATAAACACTACAGGATGGAGAAGGGAGAAAAGGCTGTAAAACTGCAGAGCAAAAGAGGTGAGCTAGAGTAGTTACAGAAGGAGCAACTGGACGTACAAATACCCCTACCACTAACCCTGGCACAATGTTTTCAAAATGTTTCTTTTTACAGCTGGGGGCAAAGGGATGTCACTGCAGGAGTGACTGATGCCCTGCTGCCAGCTCATGCCCCCCTATGTGCCTCCTACCACTGTCACTGTCAATGAAGTAAATTGTTAGCAGTGTCTATGTGGGCTCTAGCTGAGCTGCAGTGTTGGGATAAGACTGATTTTTGAGTGTGGCATTTGCTGTTGTCATATTCTACCTCTTCCCCTTTCCTTTAGAAACTAGCGGGAAAGAGGAAGAAGTTGTGGCAGGGCTTCAGGGGCAGGGTTTGGGGACCTGCACTGCTATCCTCCATCCTCTCTGGCATATCTTGTGCCCTGCAGTGACAGTGGGGGCAGCAGCCACGGCCTGCTCTGCTTTCTTGCGGCCCTCCTCCCCTGCTGCTGTAAAGTAACCTTGGAGCAAAGGAGTTTGTTGCATCATCTTGAGCACCTCCAATGGACGCCTCTGCAAGGCGCCGGGGCCGGGGGCAGCTAAGAACTGCTGTGAGCGAGCTTTCCCCCGAGGCGCTCTGCCAGGCCCCGCACCGACAGGGACGGGGCAGAGGGGGGTGGATCTCCCTGCCCCGAGCAAGGGCTGTGACTACCTGGCGGCAGAGGTTGCAATGAGCTGGCGCAGGGGGGAGACACGCCCCCTCATGTACCAATGGCAGCGCCTGCTCCTCTTGCTGCGCGCGGCCGTTGGCTAGCAGTTGCCTTCGTCACCGCGCCACGACAGCCTTCGCCGCACCCCACACCCACCCCTTCCGGCTGCCCTGCGAGGAAAGGGGGCGGGCCCCGCTTCGATGGACGAGCGGAAACAACCTATGAGCGCAGCGCTCGTGGCCCAGCCGGCCGCCGCGGGCTAATGGGAAGGCGGCGCCGGGAGGGGCGTTGCCTACGTCACCAATGTTCACCCTTCCGGTCTTAAAGGGCCCGGGGGCTCAACCGCGACCCTGTCCTGCTGGGCGGGCGGTGTGAGCGCAGGATGCGCGCGGGGCGCGGGGCACCATGCAATGGCGCTCGGTGGTGCTGGGGCTCGTGCTGCTGAGGCTGGGGCTGCACGCGTTGCTGTGGCTGCTCTCGGGCCTGGCGCCCGGACTGGGCCTGCGCTTCCCCTGGGCTCTGCCGCCGCCGCCGCGCTGGCTGGGCCGGGCCGAGAGCGAGAGCGGCCTCGCGCCGACGGCTGGGCGCTGCTGGGGCCCGCACTGGGCCGCGCTGCGGGGCCGCAATGGCGGCGGCGGCGAGTATGAGCAGCGCTACAGTGGCGCCTTCCCCGGCCCGCTGCGGGCCCAGCTCCGCGACGCTGCGCGCGGCATGTTCGCCTTCGGCTACGACGGCTACATGCACCACGCCTTCCCGCACGACGAGCTCGACCCCATCCACTGCCGCGGCCGCGGGCCCGACCGCCGTGACCCGTGAGTGCCGGGGTGGGCGGGTTATGGAGATAGCTGTGCGAGGGGGTGGGGGAG